CAAAGGACCGAACAGATAAGGTTTTGTATCCTTTTACTTTTTTACCTGAAGACGGAAGAAGATTGAGTTTCCAAAACGTTGTAATTTTATTTATAATTTAGGCTACGGAAAATATTTAGCTCAGAATGAGGACTAGTGGCTGGCTGTTGTGAACGCTGTAATGAACTTTCGGGTTCTTGAATAGGTATGCAACCCTATTATCCCCTCAAAACGAACTCTGATCCATGTAGAAGGTCGTGTAACTGGATCAGAATAGCTTCCAGTTGTTACTTTTGTGTTTATGATTATGAAATTTGGTTTATTTTATCAACATTGAAACATTTTATCGGGCGAATAATTACAAACACTTAAAGAATATTAATTTAGAGACATTTTGGGAAGATAAGATAGGAACCGACCCGTGACAGAATATTCTTACAGCAGAAGTAGGATATTTAGGAATAATACGAAACTTGATTATGTTTTAATGTTTTGTGGCTTTGTTATTGTCTGACATCGAAAGAAAAATCGGTAAATAAATTTAAAATCTTTAGCGTGTGTGTAGAGCTACTGTTTGACTTCTCATGTTTTGCCCTAAGTATTACATACCTTTCAGAAGACAGAAATATCGCAAATTTATGATCTATCATTGCTTCAGATGCCAGATCGAAACTACTGAGTCTACAATGATGTATTTTAATCTTGTCGAGCCTTTATACACACATGCTTTCTAGCCAGTCACAAAAATAGTAGACATACTATAGCATGTTTCTTAAGATTTTTTTACGAAAGCTTAACCAATGGCCTTTTTTGGTCTGTAACATGAGTTCTGTCTGCCTTAGGCGTAATGAAACGTAGATATGCCCTGTAATTTACAGCGAGCGCTGTGATATAGGCCTCCCCTAAAGAACATTCTAATATGAAACACACACAAAGGCTACCGAAAGTAAGCAAACTACAGCCTGTGGGTCAAATGCGATCCGTCGAAAAATCTAGTCCAACCTGCGACGTTGTTTGCTTATTAGCCAAGTTTTTTTTATCAATTTTTACTTACAGCGTAGAGGCTGTATTGCAATGGCAGGAAAATGTATGTGCATTTACAAGGATAGGCAACTTTAAGGAGTACTGATACACGTTGGTTTACTCACAGCTGATTATGAAGAGGTTAAGTGATTCTGAATTCAGAATAGGCTTAATTTGCGTAGAGAACTCAGGGTTAAGATGAACTGGGCTAACTTAATCAGTATAGTCGTGTCTGTCTGACTATTGTTTGGACGACCTGATTTCGATTACCAATAAGGGTAAAAGATATGCTTGCAGACAACGTCTGAGGCCCATTCAGGCTCCTCTCCAGTGGTTACGGGGGTCTATTCCCCCGGGGCATAGAGCAGCCCGGCATCGGTGGTGGGACCTTATGAATACTTTAATGTACTCTGAGGTTCCATAATGAGCTGTGAATTTTTGCTAGGTGAGAGACTATAAGTTTCTGCATACAAAACAAATAATCAATAACCCTGAACTTTGCTTTTAAAGTATATTTAAGGGATTCATATTATTTTCGGTGCAATTGCCGATTATTTCCTTAAACAGCATTTATCAATCGATCTTTGCAACGGCAAAGTTTTTTTTTGTGAGTAAGAGCTGAATTCTTAAATATTATTTGAATTTGCTCTCTGTTTTATAGAGTTCCGAAGAATTATATTTAGTTAGGAATATAGTCAGTTTATAAAAATTGTTGGCTATAGTAAAGTAAATTTTTGCAGTATCCGCAAAATGTAATGGATCTGTTATGATAAATTTTACATTCTATAGTGTTCTGTAACAACAGGAAATTTCTAGACGTTCAACAACTCTCAGTCGCTTAAGGAAGGCATTGAATCTAGTCATATAAATTTTGTTGGGAAAAGAAATAAATGGGTCTTAGTCTCACGGAAATGTGCAATGAGTTATGTATCAGTGAGTTAACACATTCCATTGTGACCTGGGTTGGCTAAACAGTGGTCGGATGTTTTGTTTATGCTGAGCCACGTGTTTACACGAAAGATGACTGGTTCCTCTTGTACTCGAGGTGATCATCACACACTTGAGTACCGACTGGATACATCCTAACCTATCTGAAGTGCATTTTGCCTGAATATAATGGTTCTGTCATTCAACGGAAATTTTGTCGCCACAAAAGTTGCACGCGGTATGTGTTGGCGAAAGATATACCCACTCGAAATGCCAGACATATTTGGAAATGTGCGGGAGAATTTACACTTTTAAACTTGTTTTTCTTCATACAGTGTCATGGAGCTTTTGTGTAGTGGTTCTCAGTCTTTTGATGCTCGCAGCAATCTCGGGATGTTTATTTTTTTCGACACACAAAAATTAGGCTCGAGAACTAAGATTTAAGAGATAATAGATTAATATTTATAATAGCCCACATATTTTAAGTAATGACATTTCTTGTAGGTTATAAAAATACAAAAGTGTTGTAAAACAGAAAGATGAAATTTTGACACAAATACCAATTAGAAGCTTTTCAAACCTCATATAATGATGATGCCCTCTTATTTTACCAAAAACCTACTTGAACCCTCTCTTTTCTTAACTTCAAACACAAACTAACTGAAATTTCAGAAAAACCGGAAGTTTAATCAACACAAATTTCAGTTTCAGCTGTATTCTTACAAAAATTAGTTCATCTCTCTGAT